TCTCCTGTGTCTCTTGCATTGGTAAGTGGATTCCTTACCACTGAGCCACCTTGGAAGCCCATTTTATATTCGCCTTTTTCTATCCTTAAAACATATCAAACTTGTTCTCGCCTAAGGTCTTTTACTAGATATTCATTTTTCCTGAAATTTTCCTTGCACTGATCTTACATGGCTGCTTTTTCTCATTTAGATTACAGATCATACTTCATTAGAAAAGACATTTCTGATTACCCAACTGCAAGAAACCATCCAGTCTTTACTACCTTATTTTCATCCTCTATAGTGCACATTATTAGCTTTTTATGGCAGGGGAAGAAGGGTGCGCATTACTTGATTACTATTCATCTTGCCTACTAGACTGTAAGTTTCATGAGAACAGGCCTTATCCATCTGCTTCAGCACTGTATTTCTAATACCTAAATAAGCGCTTGTTACATGTGTTTTCAGTTGCTCAGTCGTGTCTGACTTCGGCCTGTCAGACTCCTCTGTTCATGGAATTTCCCAGGTTAAGAATCATGGATTGGGGGTATCATTTCTTATGCCAGGGGATCTTCCAACCCAGGGACTGAACCCTCGTCTCTCACATCTCCTACACTGGTAGGTGAATTCTTTACCACGAGCACCACCTGGGAAGCCTATCTGTTACACAGTAGATTCTTACTAAGAATTTGCTGAATGAGCAAACGGGTAGAGATAAATTTGTAGGATGGTTGTAAACCTGACTGAGTCTCCTAGTGATTCTGGGGAAAATAATCAACAAGTCTGTCCCAGTGAAGATCTAAGTACCTAGGGAAGTCTTTGCTATGTTCTAGAAAGTGTTCAAGATGTTCCGGAAGTCACCTTATTCCTTTAGGGAAGAGTACCCTAAAAAGAGCATGCAGTAAACTGCACTGCCATTCAAATACTGTACTTTCTAAGGGTCTACAAGACATGTATGAGATACTATAAAAAGTACAGGTGAATAAATTGACAGAGTGCCTGTTCACAAGGAGCTTGCGGTTGGTACCTAGCAACCAATGAAAGGCCTTGCTAGAATTCAGTTCAGTTCAGTCATTCAGTCACATCTGACTCTTTGTGACCCATGGACTGCAGCACGCCAGGCTTCCCTGTTCATCACCAACTCCTGGAGTTTACTCAAACTCACATCCATTGAGTCAGTGGTGCCATCCAACCATCTCATCTCTGTCATCCCCTTCTCCTCCTGCTTTCAATCTTTCCCAGCATCAGGGTCTTTTCTGATGAGTCAGTTCTTCGAATCCGGTGGCCAAAGTATTGGAGCTTTAGCATCAGTCCTTCCAGTGAATATTCAAGACTGATTTCTTTTAGGATTGATTGTTTTGATCTCCTTGCAGTCCAAGGGACTCTCAAGAGTCTTCTCCAACACCACAGTTCAAAAGCATCAGTTCTTTGGTGCTCAGCCTTCTTTACGGTCCAACTCTCACATCTACACCTGACTACTGAAAAAAACCACAGCTTTGACTAGACGGACCTTTGTCAAACCTTTCCTTCTTGACCTGCATACAGGTTTTGTAGGAGGCAGATAAGGTGGTCTGCTATTCCCATCTCTTGAAGAATTTTCCAGTTTGTTGTGAGCCACACTAAAGAGGCTCTTTAGTTCCTCTTAGCTTTCTGCCATAAGGGTGGTGTCATCTGTCTATCTGAGGTTACTGATATTTCTCCCGACAACCTTGATTCCAATTTGTGCTTCATCCTGCCCGGCATTTCACATGATGGTCTCTGCATTTAAGTTAAATAGGCAGTGTGACAATATACAGCCTTGATGTACTCCTTTCTCAATTTGGAACCAGTCCATTATTCCATGTCTGATTCTAATTGTAGCTTTCTGACCTGCATACAGGTTTCACAGGAGGCAGGTAAGGTGGTCTGCTATTTCCATCTCTTGAAGAATTTTCCACAGTTTGCTGTGATCCACACAGTCAAAAGGCTTTAGCACAGTCAGTGAAACAGAAGTAGATGTTTTTCTGGAATTTTATTGCTTTTTCAATGTCACAACAGATGTTGGCAATTTGATCTCTGGTTCCTCTGCCTTTTCTAAATCCAGCTTAAACATCTGCAAGTTCTCAGTTCACATACTGTAAGCCTGGCTTGGAGAATTTTGAGCATTACTTTGCTAGTGTGTGAGATGAGTGTAATTGTGCGGTAGTTTGAACATTCTTTGGCATTTGGAACTGGAATGAAAACTGACCTTTTCCAGTCCAGTGGCCACTGCTGAGTTTTTGAAATTTGCTGGCATACTGAAATGCAGCACTTTCACAGAACAATCTTTCAGGATTTGAAACAGCTCAACTGGAATTCAATCACCTCCACTAGCTTTGTTTGTAGTGATGCTTCCTAAGGCCCACTTGACTTCATACTTCAGGATGTCTGGCTCTAAGTGAGGGATCACACCATTGTGGTTATCTGGGTCATGAAGATGACCTTTTTTGTATATTCTTGTGTATTCTTGCCACCTCTTCTTAACATCTTCTGCTTGTTAGGTTCATGCCATTTCTGTCTTTAATTGTGCCCATTTTTGCATGAAATGTTCCCTTGAAGAGATCTCTAGCCTTTCCCATTTTATTGTTTTCCTCTATTTCTCTGCACTGATCACTTAGGAAGACTTTCTTATCTCTCCCTGCTATTATTTGGAACTGTGCATTCAGATGTGCGTATCTTTTCTTTTCTCCTTTACCTTCTCTTCTTTTTTCAGCTATTTGTAAGGCCTTCCCAGACTACCATTTTGCCTTTTTGCATTTCTTTTTCTTGGTGATGGTTCTGATCATTGCCTTCTGTGTAATGTTATTTACATCCGTCCATAGTTCTTCAGGCATTCTATCAGATCTAATCCCTTGAATCTAGTTGTCACTTCCATTGTATAATCATAAAGGATTTAATTTAGGTTATACCTGAATGGTCTAGTGGTTTTCCCTACTTTCTCCTATATAAGTCTGAATTTTGCAATAAGGAGTTCATGATCTGAGCCACAGTCAGCTCCCAGTCTTGTTTTTGCTGACTGTTTAGAACTTCTCCATCTTCTACTGCAAAGAATATAATCAATCTGATTTTGGTATTGACCATCTGGTAATGTGCATGTGCATCCTCTTGTGCTGCTGGAAGAGGGCATTTGCTATGACCAGTGTGTTTTCTTGGCAAAACACTATTAGCCTTTGTCCTGCTTCATTTTGTACTCGAGGCCCAAACTTGCCTGTTACTCCAGGTATCTCTTGACTTCCTACTTTTGCATTCCAGTCCCCTATGATGAAAAGGACATCTTTTTTTTGGTGTTATTTCTAGAAGGTCTTGTAGGTCTTCACAGAACTGTTCAACTTCAGCTTCTTCAGCATTAGTGGCTGTGGCATAGACTTGGATTACTGTGATCTTCAACGGTCTGCCTTGGAAACGAACAAAGATCATTCTGTCATTTTTGAGATTGTACCCAAGTACTGCATTTCGGACTCTTTTGTTGACTATGAGGGCTACTCCATTTCTTCTAAGGGATTCTCTCCCACAATAGTAGATATAATGGTCATCTGAATTAAATTTGCCCATTCTGGTCCATTTTAGTTCACTGATTCCTAAAACGTTGATGTTCATTCTGGCCATCTCCTGACTGACCACTTCCAATTTACCTTGACTCAAGGACCTAACATTCCAGGTTCCTATGCGATATTGTTCTTTATAGCATCGGACTTTACTTCCATCACCAGTCACATCCACAACTGGGTGGTGTTTTTGCTTTGGCTCAGCCTCTTCATTCTTTCTGGAGTTATTTCTCCACTGTTCTCCAGTAGCATACTGGGCACCTACCAACCTGGGAAGTCCATCGTTCAGTGTTATATCCTTTTGCCTTTTCATACTGTTTATGGGGTTCTCAAGGTAAAAATACTGCTGGGCAGGGCCAAGCTCAGTGAATCTTTAATCCAATTTTCTGTAGATGGGTGAGGCTGTGTTCCCTCCCTCAGGCCAAATTACGGTAGGGGTAACTTCCTTCAAAAAGACTTATACCAGCATACCACAACTCCCAGGACTTATGTATTCAGTGCCCTACACCTCACGGCAGGCCGCTGTCGACCCACATCTCCACTGGAGACTCCCGGACAGTCACAGGCAAGTCTGGCTCAGTCTCTTGTGGGGTCACTGCTCCTTTCTCCTTTCTAGAACTGCTACATGCATATTACTTGGAGTATCTGCTTCACAGATGAAAAAGTTGGCCTTAAGTATATTACAAAGGTTAGCAAATAAGAGTACTAAATCTGTTTTGTATCTAGCTGCTTATCCAGTTCTATATTGAAATTTCACATGACTAATTAAAGTTTTATAAGACTACATTATTATTTTTATGTTTTTTGGACCACACAGATCTTTGGAGATCTTAGTTTCCTGACCAGGAACTGAACCCACACACCCTGGGATGGAAATGTGGAGTCTTAACCACGGGATCACCAGGAAGTCCCCATGCTATTATTTTAACAGAACTGGTTAACAGAAGTGTCTAGTTATTAGAGACTTCGCCACATGGAAAGAAATATGTACACTAGTGGATAAACAACAAAAAACTGAAATCAAATTAAATACATGAAAGAGGGGGAAAAAAAGAATGAATGGTTGCACAGCTCTCTTCTGGTAGTTTTGAGGCACTGACCTCAAAATTTTAATATACTCTTAAGAGTTCAAGTATCAGCACTCCAGTATTCTCAGCATTAGAGAATTAAGAGACAACCTCATAGAAAACAAATGAGACTAAAACCTATGTTATATTTGCATTTTTCTGTAAAAAAGTGTAATCTATGTCTTTGGTTTGGCTTTATATAAAAGCTGAACACTTACTTATAAACACTGCATAATATATATATAGCTGCTATATTGCAGTATGTTTTTATTTAAAAAATGAGTTCTGGATAAAAGCTCTGCTATTTCAATAATATACAACTGTTCACTCTGTATTAAAACAAATGATACAAAAAAAAAAAAGAAATCATAAAATGCAATAAATAACATACCATTCCATAGGCCTGCTGTTGGACCCAGATGATATAATCATTCCGTATGTCTATCAATTCTTGTACTTCATGTATATAAAATTTATCATACTGAATAATCTGTCCAGATTTCTCATTTACCTACAAAAAAATAAAAATGTTAATTAACATTAAATTTAACCAGTACCTAAAAAAGAGCCTGAAAAGTATTTAAATAGAAAAAGGTTTTGAGATTTCTTAGTTATTTTCTCTTCCTATAAAAAATAATTTACTGAGTGCCTACCGTATGTAAAATGCTAGTTAAGTGCTATGAGAAATACAAAGATTTATAAGATGTGATATCTGTATTTAGTACATCAAAATCAAGTAGAAAATAAAACATTTATGTAACACCACATGAGATATACCATTAAATATATATATATGTATATATATACTATACAAACTAGAAACTATAAAGTCTTCTGATTGAGAATGGAACTTAAATAATAGTAAGAATAGCTAAAGCTCCAAAATCTGAATGTAAACTCCCCCTTCATCTTTGGCAAACTCTTAAACCATGAAAGCACAAGTGAGACTTGGTGGGGGATATCCCAATGGAAAGCATCAACTTTCTGAGACTACTCAGAGCAGATTTCAAGACAAGACAAGACAAGATTTCCAGAGGAAAAAAGGCCCATTTAGTGATGCTAAAAGAATTCATTCATCAAGAAGTCATGACAATCCCTGGGCATCCGTGGTAGCTCAGTGGTAAAGAATTTGCCTGCCAGTGCAGGAGGCCCGGGTTTGATCCCTGACCCAGGAAGATCCCACAGGCCATGGAGCAACTAAGCCTGTGTACCACAACTGCTGATGCTGTGCACTAGAGCCTGCACGCTGCAACTACTGAAGCCCAAGCGCCTAGAGCCGATGCTTCGCAACAAGAACAGCCATCACAACGAAACTGAAGAGTAACCACCACCACCCCCACCCCATCCCTGGCTTGCTGCAACTAGAGAAAGTCCACAAGCAACAACAAAGACTTAGGTGAGTCAAAAATAAATAAATAAATAATAATAATAAAAACTCAACTCCAGATTAACTACAGATTAGACTAGCCTGAATCCCGAAACTAACAACCACACAAGAGGTATACAAATTTACAGGAATAAATTCAGCTTTTACTATTTTACAGACATCCAAAATTTGTGAGACATATCCAAAATCAGATAAGTAAATAAAACAAAGGACACGTAAAAAAAAGTCTAAAAGAAAAAGCAATCAACAGAGCCAGACTCAGAGATGACCTAGAGGCTGGAGTACGCAGAAAGGTGCTTTGGGAAGGTATTTTGAACTTATTGAAAATAAAACCAAAGCTGATCAAAATTTGTGGAATGCTGGTAAAGCAGAGCATAGAAGGAAACTGACAGCATTTAATGATCATGCTAAAATAAAAGGTCTAAAACCAATAGCCTAATAAGGTTCAGCTCAGGAATTCCCTGGTGGTCTAGTGGTTAGGACTCGGTGCTTTCACTGCCACAGACTGGGTTCAATCTCACCAACTGTGTGGTATTGCCACCAAAAAAAAAAAAATTCTCAGCTTTAAGAACCTCGAAAATCAAATTAAGGACAATCAAGTAGAGGAAAAGAAAGATAAGAAATACAAAACACTATGGTTTTTAAATTTAATGTTATTAATAAAGATTTACATTTTTCAAAAGAAAAGTCCAGGCCAAGATGGCTTCACTGGTGAATTCTATCAAAAATTTAATAATACCAATCTTAAACTCAGAACACAGAGAAGAGGGATCATTTCTTAATTCATTTTATGATGCTAGGATAACCCTGATGCTAAGAAGCTGATGAGAAACAAAATTTAGCCAATCAACATCCCTAATAAACACAGACACAAAACTCTCAACAAAATATGAGCAAATTAAATCCGACAATATATATAAAATAATATAAAATGTCTAAGTGGAGTTCATCCCAGGAATACAACTATTGAGTCAACTAACACAAATGAATTTCACTACATTTCAGGGGAAAAAAATAATAATAGTTTGTTCATCTCAACAGATACAGAAAAAAAGCATCTAACAAAGTTCAACATCCCTTCATAGTAACAACTCTCAGCAAACCAGGAATAGGAAGGAAGTTCTTCAAACAGATAAAGCTCACCTTAAAAACAAAACAAAAACTTTACAGCTAACATCATGCTTATGAGTAAAACATTAAAAACTTTCTAAGATGAAGACTTAGACAAGAATTGTCCACTGCAACCATTTATATTCAACATTGTACTGGGAAGTCTTAGCCAATTAAATAAGGAAAGAAAATATCATGACTGTGTTCATAAAAAATGCAAATGAATCTATGAGAGAACTATTAATTTACCAAGGTCACAGAGTACAAAGTAAAAATTCAACTGAATTTCTCCACACGAGCAACAAAACTAAATTTCTCCATACTACTAACAATCAAAAATAATTTTAATTATCATTTATAATAACATAAAAAACATTAAAAATAGAGTTGAGCAGTTATAAGAGAAACCACAAGTTCACAATGTATAAAACATTACTATCTAAACCTCCACAGAAAAAGTTTACAATTCTTGCCTTACAGCTTAACTCTTTCTACTACTAAAAGAGAAAATAAACCCAGCAATTACACACAAAAACTCATTGGCTTTTCCTTCTCCAGTATTTTTGTATTGTTGTTGTTGTTTAATCACTAAGTTGTGTCCAACTCTTTTGTGATCCCATGGACTGTAGTCTGCCAGACTCCTCTGTCCATGGGATTTCCCAGACAAGAATACTAGAGTGGGCTGCCATTTCATTCTCCAGGCAATCTTCCAGACCCAGTGTCTCCTGCAAATCTTCACTACTGAGCTACCTAGGAATTAACTATTACATTAGACTCTAAAAATTTAATGAATCTTGTTGAAAATGATCCACATCCTATTGACCTCTGATGTATTTTTATCTGAAACATTTATTTTAAAAGGTAAACTGCAGTTTCCCTCACCAGTAGCAATCAGTGTTTATAGCTTTTATATCATGCAGATATGACATACGTTTTTGATAAGACATGCTATGTTAGAATGTGTGTGTATATATGCCCTCAGTTGTGTCCTACTCTTTGCAACTCACTAGACTGTAGCCTGCCAGAATCCTCTGTCCATGGAATTTTCCAGGCAAAAACATTGGAGTGGGTTGCCATTTCCTACTCTAGAGGATCTTCCCAACTCAGGGATCAAACCCATGTCTCTTGTGTCTCCTGCTTTGGCGGGTGGATTCTATACCACTGAGCTGCCTGAGAAGACCATCAAGTTAGAATAAAAACTAACAATTTAGAAATCAGGTTTCATTCAGGAACAGACAAATTTCAGTCAAACTTAAGACGTGGGGGGAAATGATGGTTAACAGTTAATTCACTCACAATGATTTAATAACTAAAGACAAAATCAGTTGTTAGTCTTTTAAAAATAGAGAAATATTTAGGCACTGAATAGAAGACCGATCCAGAAGACCTTTATACAGATTTACACATAAAATCAACGGTTTTAAAAACTATAAATAAAAATACACTTGTATGGAAGGTAACATTGACGAGGCATTATTTTCTTCGGGAAGTCTTCTTTAATTCTTTTGCGTTATATGCCCTCCTATGTGTTTCCACAGCGCCCATCCTTTTGCTTAATCTACACTTACCATGCTATACCATAAACAATTATTTATTTGTATTATACAACTGGTCCACATTTATAATCTTAACAAGGGCAGAAATCACATCTTTTCCTTATAACTGAATCACTAAAGCATATAACTGCACCAAATATGCACACAGTAGGCACTCAGTAAATGTTTGTAAAATGAATTTTAAAAATTACATGACAGAAGTTCAAAACAACCTACACATTCAATACTGCTGTCTAAAATGTAAAAAATAGAAACTATATATGTGTGATCATAACACTTCATATATTCATTACAGTTTAATACTCTCATTTATATACCTGAGTTCAGAGGTGGTATATGGTATGTAAACATATCCCTTATTTGTCTGGGTTTAAGGGTCCCTTGAAAAAAAATTTTTTGATAATCACTGACTTAGAAGATTAGCATGATATGCAACACTTAGGCTAGTCAGACCAAGCCAAGTCTTTTCTTTTGGCATATTAGTATCTCTGTAATGTACTGTGTGAAAACTCAGAAACTACTAAACAACCCAATTTCTTGCCAGCAAATTCATTTATCTGGTAACACATTCATTCCTGACAGCAGGTACGAAAATTATCTTTCTTGTGATGCCATTTGGAGCACTGGGAGTGATTTCTAATTCAAAAGCTTTCCAAAGGACATGACAATAAGGGAGGAACAAGTCATTTATATATCCTCAAAAGATCAGGAGAAAGAGAGACTAGTTCTACAGTTCTTAATCCTGTTCTAAATTTGGTTAGGAAAGAAACCCTTTTAGGAAACTTCTAATTCTTAACTATGGAGCAGAGAGAAGAAATATATACAGCTGTCAGACATAAGGTGTCTTCTTAAACACAAATCTTTGATAAGCAATTTAGGTTCCACTATAGATGAAAATAAATCATCCCTGACAATGATCTATGACAGGTTAGGACCAAGTAAAGTTTTCTCCAAAGTAAGAGGTAAAAGAAAGGTAACTGATTGTCCTAAGAACTCTCACTAAGAGATGCCTAAGAAACTAAGATACCATTACTACCTTACTTCTGAGTTTGTAACAACTTCAAACAGGAACTCAATTTCCTCATGATCAAATAAACTGAGTTAAAAGCTACAGTTTCCCATTCAAACGGTGGTGGTAACAAAATCTCTGCCTTATGAATGTATAGTATTTGTATATATATTCCATAATCTAAACAACACATCAATCCTGGGAAAGCAGGCCATTATTTCAATCCTTATTTTATAGATAACTATCTGCATATGCAATAAAGAAGACTTGTTCAAAATCACATCAGTAAGAAGCAGCATAGATGGAATCAGAATTAGTCTTTTTAACAATTCAATGCTATCCACAATTATGGAAGTATAAGCCTCCAGATTTAGAGGCATAAAACGAAACCAAATCCCCTTCTGAACAAGTTATACTACCATACTGATACAGAAGTACATTAGAAACACTTTAGAAGTAGATTTGTATTTCAATTCTGCTACTTACTGGTTTATGACCTTTGATACTCAGATTAAGGGGCAAGATGTAACTATAAAAAGTTAAATGAGGAATTCATGTAAAGTGCTCACAGGAATTAATGTACAAGGGAGGTTTTTAATCTCGGCTACCTCATGTGACTTCATATAACTTTCTGAACTTATTTTCCTCTCCCTTTCAGCGAGCAATAATTTAGGATCCTAGTTCCAGCATGGCTCCATCAAAAAGGTCTCTGGACACAGAACCCCACACGGTTCTCCTCAAGAGACTGAGGCTTCTGAACTGGGCACACAAGTTACTAGATGGAGTTCTGCCTATAATTATGAAAGACAAAGGGTCCAATTTCCTTTCCTTTTCACTTGTGGAAAAAGACATAGCTAAGGAAAAAAAATTTTTTAAGAGGTAATAAAGATAAGCAGACAAGGAAGAGGGGAAGTGAATAATTAATTACTTGGGGAAAAGGTCCTGCTGACAAAGGATGGTTCACTGAAATAGTAGGAAAAGAGAGTCCAGAGAAAGGAAAGAATCTAATCACTCACTTAAATCCTAGGCAAAAGGCATACAGAAAAGTAGAGACCCATATCATGAAGACAGAAGATTTTAATAGCAGTTTACTGCAGAATCCAGTTTACCTTAAAGTGCTGCAAGAAAGTCTTGGACTGGGGAAGGCAAACATAAGAATAACCTATTTCCCCCTAAGAAAAAAAATAGCTATCATAGCCTCAGCTATAGTAAGAGAAATGACTTGTTTTTCTAAAGAGCTTGGAAATACTAATTACAAAAGAAAAAAAGTTCAAGAAGCAGTAGAGAAAGGAACTTCATGAAATGAACCAGGAACTTCATTAATGAACCAGGAACTTCATCAAAAGAATAAAAAGGAAAAAAAATCGTCCATATGGGCTCTTTCTTACAGAGAACACAAGGCCTGTTTCCTTTACCCTTTATCACTAACCATAATCGCAAGCAAGAACGGTCTGAAAACTAAAGAAGCTGTTAAGGGGAGGAAACTAAAGGTTCACATGAGTTTTTCAGACATTCTAGAGGCTGGAAACATATGCTCCTCCCTTAGGTCATGTCTTCCAAGATAGTAACTTAATATCAAATGGCAGAACAGAGATATACCTACCAGCTGTCAGGGAGGTCTCAAAACCGTCTTTAATGAAACAGCTGAGACTCTCCTTCTTCATATAACTTTGAACTGCTGCTACAAGTGTAAAGGGTACTATTTCTTCCACTGGGAAGAAGGGCAGGAAAGACCAACAGGCAAATTAATGAATTATATATGGTTCCAATTTCAATTAGTCATCTGTTTCAAATGTTTTACTTTGATTGAAGTCATCAGTAGCCAATAGCGAAAGGAACATGAGTTTTAAATGTTCACAATCGTAAGTAGGATGAAATCTCTTTCGTATTATAACCATCTATAAATAACAAGTGTATTATTTAAATAACAAATCATGTTCTTCAGAAAAAACATAAGGAGACTCTGATTCATTAGTATGCTACTGTTCTGCCCAACTATAGACAAGTTATTCATAAATGCCTAACAAAGACCAAAGCACTAACGTATACATTCTTTCTTTTAAGGAAAATTTAGATAACTTCTCCAAATTCCTATAATATCTTTTATGCCAATCTAATTCTGTAATATAGTCATGTTAAAATAAACATCATCAATCTGTTAGTGGCAATGGGGGAAGAGTAAAATAAATGAACTACTGGACATACCCTATGTAATATTTCTAAAACCTTTAATGCAGTATGAAGAAAACTGTTGAAAATTCTTCTCTCAGAAGGGGGAATGCCGATCTTGTAGAGTTTCAAAAGATGTACCACAACCTCCTTAAAAAGTTCTACAATCTTGAGGAATAGCGGAGGTTCAAGTACTGACCACCAGTTTTCTGTTATTAAAGGGTGAACACACAAATAAAATAAAATTTAAAAAGTCACAATTTTCAAAATCATACTGATTTTTCCTAAAGCAGTGGCTCTTAACCCTTTGAAAATCTCAAGAAGATACATGTACTATGATATATTATGTAACATTTCTAGGGTTCATAGACACTACTCCACATTCAAGTTAAATAATACGGTTCTAAAAGCTCTCAAAAGCAAAAATCAAGTAAAAAAGGTCTATTGAATTTACATTCTTAGCTTTCTAAGCTGTATTAAAAACTTAACCACTATCCCTCATATTAAACCAGGTGTTTCAAAGTGCTTTGTAAATTAGAAGTTTAATTTTTAAAAACACTAAAAAACTGTATTGCTCCAGTATTTACAGGTATCTCCAACTTCTACCTGTCAACTTAAAGTTGAAATGTGAAGCACCACCTGAATGCAAGGTACTCCTAAATATCAAATACAGAAACTGAATAATGTAAAGTATGCCATATCTGTCTTTCTCCATGTTCACTATTTATAGCTATTAACTACAAACATGACAGTCCTGTGCAGGAGACAGGAAAAGGAAAACTTCTGACAACATGGGAACAATAATTGTTGAGACCCTGCTTCACTCTTCTAACCACTCACTGGCTCATTTCCTCAGATTCCAGGATTCTACCCACTGCTTGTTACTTCCTCTGCTCACTCTCAGCCTAAAACTTCTTCTACTGATTTTATTACTCTTATGTATCTCAGACTGACATATCTAACAAATACTATTAGGAAGGAAGGAAAGCACCACTACTAAATGTAGCAGGCAAACTATAATAGCCAACAGATAGAGAGGAAATCTATACAATTAGAAAAATCAAAGTGAGAAACGTTTATGCCAAAAACCCAGAGGAATAAGATCAAATGAAGAGTGGACTCTCACATAGAGAGACATCAGAAAATTAGCAAACAAGGCAAAGGGCTAATAAATAAAGTTCAAGGGGGATTTAATACCCAGGTTTGTTCAGGTTTAACTGTCCCCTTTCCTTTACTCTTTAACAATAAGATCACTCTGGAGTGAATGAGGAAGTTTCTGTTCAGTTGCTCAGTCATGTCTGACTCTTTGCGACCCCATGGACTGCAGCCCTCCGGGCTCCTCTGTCCCTGGGATTCTCCAGGCAAGAATACTGGAGTGGGTTGCCATTTAGAGAAATACGAAAAACAGTTTTTATCTTTCCTGATATTGTCTCCACCGTTGTGTTTGATTAAAATTTTAATATTTAACATGCTTTGCCTCCAACAACTCTTAACTAGCATCAGATGATTAGCAAAAAGTAATGAACTGAAAAACAGGTTTAACTTTCCCTGAGATTAATGTCAAAATAATTCAGGGTAGCAAAATTTCAAACAGCAAAAAAGTAAGAACTTAACGAGCATTTTCATTTTAAGAAAAAAGGTTACAAAAGAAAAAAGTATTAAAATTCTTACCAAGTACTTTCAGCGGTGCCTTTTCTAAGTTCACAAGAGCTGTACCAAAGGGAATTGCTATTGTGGTGAAATTGTTGGAATCGCTCATCAGGGGACATTCTGGCAGAGTAAGATAAAATCTCAATGCTTCAACATCAGGTAAGGAGCTAGTCAGTTTAGGAATAAGATTCTTTTCCAAGCTAGCTGCAACCTACATTTTGACAAAAAGTAAAATCTACTTCATTTAAAATGAACGCATATTCAAAAAAAACAGAGAGAAAAAGAAATTCTTATACCACAGGAAACATTAAATGGTGAAGGGAAAAGAAAAAAATAAACCATCTTATGATGAATCAATGAATGTACTCTGGCGCACAATGAAAATTAATGCATACACAATATAAGAGAATATTTTTTAATTAATTTATTTATTTTAATTGGAGGCTAATTACTTTACAATATTTTGGTGATTTTTACCATACACTGACATGAATCAGCCACGGGTGTACATGTGTCCCCCATCCTGAATCCTCCTCCCATCCCTCTGGTTGTTCCAGTGCACTGGCTTTGACAGTCCTGTTTCATGCATCGAACTTGGACTGGTCATCTATTTCACATATGGTAATAATATACATGTTTCAATGCTTTTTGTAAGAGAATCTTAAAAATCTTATGTACAAATCTCAATTTAAACTCTCTGCATCTACAGCTATGTAGACTTAACCAACATGGTAATGTTAAGCGATTAAGGGTCTGCTCTGAACATCTGGAAAGATTTACAGATGTCTGACAGCTAAATTACAGTTAAAAATAATACCTGATTTAAATTCTTACATTAGTTTATACAAAGACATCATAATAAAGTATATGAAACTGTAAAGTTAATTAGGCAACAAAGCTTTAGGATAACATGGAATAAAAAAGTCAACAGGGAACATAATACAAATACAAAATACTTTAAAAACAAACCTGTTGAGATATCTGAGGATGATCAGGCTGTATAAGTTTGTGGAATAAAAGTCTAGCAGCATTCATATCAACACCTGAAAATCTAGCGCCCGTTCTATAGTGATCATCGTTGCTATTGTTAAAAAAAGAGAGAGAAAAAATGATAAAGTAAGCTTTAAATTCATTTCATTTGTTTAATGACATTATTATTTAATATAATAAATTCAAAAAATTCAGTATAACAAAGAATTGTCACTTACCTAACAGCTAAAAAACTTCCATTCAGACAACCAGATGAAGAAAATGTTCCATCAATTTCACTAAAAAGAAATTTAAAAATCTCCAAATCACAAAATGAGAAATCTATTTACCTTCATTTTTTAATAAAAATTAAACTAATATTTAATGCTACAGAGCATTCCTCCAATCAACATTCAGAATAAATCAGAACTCTATAAATTACTACAGATTAAGTAAATCTTGATAGAAGTATTACTGTTCACCCTAGACTCTCTTGAACATTACCATCATCCTCAGATTCACCAAATAAATCTGATATTCCTAAAATAAATTTTTTTTAATAAATAAATGCACATTTAACTTTCTTAATTCCACACAGTGGTAAATCTAATCTGGAAAGTTATTTTTCTGAAGACTACTCTTCAGGCTGTTAAGAAAAATTTTAGTTTGGGAACATAATCTGGAACTAAAAAACAGCTGATCAGCTACAATCCCTCATCCCAAATACCTACACCACCTTCAACAACAAAAATTTAAAGTACTAAACAAGTCCATCTGCAAGCAAAATATTCAAGAAGGAAGCAATACTCAATTCTTCCAGGAATACAGATGTTAAAACAAAAAGACCAGTATAAAGCCAGAAGGAACTTTTTTGAAAATCCAATCTCTAAAGCAGCTATATTTAATATTTTAAGAATGGCATATTCTTATATATTTTTATATATTTAAAGTATGTAACAATTTTAAATGAGATCTCCTAAAATATCCATTATAGAAATTCCAGACATTCAAACTTCTGTATATAAACCATTCAGTAAATGATACTTAATGAAATATTTATTTAAATGAAAACTTCTAAGTACAGGTTCCTCTACCATGGAGTTGAGAGATTTTGTCTTTGTGTAGATAAAACATTTTTCTTACTTGGCTATCTCTACAGGAAATCTTCCAGAGGGGTAGCTGAGCCATTTTTGAATTAGAGCTTCATTCACAGTCCAGATCTGCTTCGAAGGATCAGGATATCTAAAGTCATCTGGTGGCCCACAGTTCTAAAGTTTAAAATAAGTAGATGAGTTTGAGGGAAGAGGATTATATACAAAGCATTCTGCATCTGGAAGTTAATCTCTACTACACACCTGAAAACAAAACTTGAAAAAAAACTGGAACAAAAACTTGTCAAATAGATCCGAAAATATCTATAGACTTGAGGAAAAAAATTAAGGCCATTACTTTGTAACATATAAAGAATACTAATATGAAATTATCTGAGCTTATTAATTATTCATATGATTTCTATTACCTGGGGATTAGAATAATGTGAAAAGCTTTGATCTCCACCTGAGAAAATTCTTTTCACGCAGAAATATTCTTCAGAATCTGTAATAAAAATAAAATATTAAAAAATTCAAGATTTACAGATATATTTTTAGAGCATCAAATATGCTACTGGACTTTCTCTTAATCTCTAACTTAATGAGACCTCCCAATCATGGGCTCAATGACGCAAAATGACTGAGAATGTTGACCGACCAAGTTAATGGAACATTAAATGATCCCACAAGCACATCCAGCATTTGCTAAGCTTTTTGGTTGGTCTTTTTTTTCCTGATCCTAATTTTTGTTTTGGTTTGTTTTCCCAATTGGAGGATAAATTGCTTCACAATGTTGTATTGGATTCTGTTGTACAGTCTTCTTTTTGATGTGCATATCAAACAATGGCATTTTTTAATCTAGATCTTTATTATCTCAATATATTTTAAACTGATGACGGTGTAAAAACTGAATCAAAGATATAAAAGATAGCTCGGAAGAAAATAAAAAGTAAGAATATTCATTTTGGGGAATTCCCTGGTGTGGTCAGGACTCAGCATTCTCATTGCTGTGGCCCAGAGTTCAATCCCGGGTTGGGTAACTAAGATCCTGCAAGTGTGTGGGACGTGGCCAAAGAAAAAAAGGAACATTCATTTTAAAAAGAATGACAACAAGAAGAAACAAGTATCAGTGTATGTTAAATCTTCTTGGGTAATGCAAAATTCTTTTCTCTCTCAGCAAAGCTATATATACAAAAGTAAAGTGACACACACAGCTCTTTATTAGAAATTATTTATCAATAACATCCAAATCAGGTCCAAAAATATAAATATTAATAAATTTAGTAGAAATAGAAGAAGAAACAATAAAGTCCCTTTTCAAAATGACATTCAAAGCCTCCTCCTCTTTCTCCTCTTCTTTATCTCAAAATGGAAAGACTATATTAACAAACCTATCACTAGACTAGTATTTATAAGTATCACATACCAAAACACTATAGCGCTACAATGTAACTTAAGGCTTTGTTGCTGTTGTTGTTTAGTCTCTAAGTCATGTCCAACTCTTATGCAACCCCATGGACCACAGACCACCAAGCTCCTCTTTCCATACCATTTCCCAGACAAGAATGCTGGAGTGGGCTGCCATTTCCTCCTCCAGGGGAATCTCCCCAACCCAGGGATAGAAACCACGTTTCCTGGTCTCCTACACTGGCAGGTGGGTTCTTTACCATTGAACCACCAGGGAAGCCCAACTTAAAGTCTGGTTATTTCCAAACATAATCCACTTCTGTGTTCCTACTCCTGACCCTCCACTCTTCAGCTGACTAGACTAATTCTTCACCTGTATTATTTGTGACCATCACTGCTACAGAATTATGAAATTCTTAAGGAAGGGATCACATCTTAATTTCCTTGGATCATTCCCTACTATTAAGCATAATGTTTTATTTGTAAAAGCACCGAGTAAATGTTTAATATATAATATAAAAATTACCTAGCTTAGAAAATACCAACAGTAAGAGCTTCAGAGGTCATAACATTAATGACCAAATTTTCCACAAGAATGTTCTAAGGTCAAATATTTTAAAGAACAGATTAAAAGGGTAAATTTAAAATATTAAATAAACCAATCATTCAACTTAAAATCTTTTCTCTACATCATCTTCACAAGTCCACATGAAGTCATGCACTTTCTTCAAAAGACTGAGCAAATGTTATTCATTTGCTTCTAAAAGGCGATTCTGCCCTCTTTAAATAATCGTCAAGTAAATGGATAGACTAGAGTACATGAATAGGTTTCTGGAGGCTGTGAATAGGTCACCAAAAATTATTTTCCTTAATTTTCTTTTAATTACAACTCTAAAAACGTCTGTGGAACCTAGTCATTTGTCCTACGCAGCTTCCTGCAGATTGGATTTTGCTGATTATATCCTTGAGGATTCTCCTAACATTTTCCTCAGCCTTCTGTATATTTCTATAAATTAGTAGTTGGATCTAGAGAGGATTTCATTAGATTAATTACTCAATTATTTTGACGAAACTATTACATGGTAGTGGAAAGGGCTATTCTTCATCAGGAAGCACATAATATATGGTTGTGTTCCTTTTTGTGATATTAGTAACCACTGACACCCATAGACCATTAATTCATTGTGGGCTGAAAAATGATACACTAATATTACTTCCTCATCTTATGGTTGGACCATTAGCATCCCCTTATCCACCACATTGCTCTGTAATAGGAAAAATTAATGCTTGTTCTTTTCCACTTATTTACTATTGCTTGGCTTTTTGAATTTGCATTTCTCTTTGATGATAATTTTTACATGTTTCTTAGTAACCTGGATTTCCTCACTGGGAATTTCCATTAACTACCTTTATCTATTACACGTCTAAATGTTTGTCCTATTTACTAGGTATTTTACTATTTTTCACACCAATATATATGAGTACTTTGGCTACTATCTCAGGTTATATCTGTTACAAACATTTTTCCTAAATAATTATTTAATTTCAACTCAGATTTTCTTCCATTACATCAAATGTATTTGTTTCATTCTTTATGATGTGTTTCATTGCCAAAATGCTAAGAAATGTGTGTCCCATCCTCAAATTACAGAATTATCTTAAGAACTTTTTAATATTTAACTTTAATCCATCTATAATTTCCTTTAGAATATGTTGTTAGTTTAGGATCTAAACTGACATTTTCCTACCAATTCTCATGTATTGAGTAATTCTTTCCCCTTCTCCACATATTTATTAGTGACGTCCTGTTTTAAAGTTATGAAGAGAAAATATACCTCTTCTACCTATAACACACAACCCTCCACAACTTTGGCACTCCTCTCCACCCCAAAAGTGTTCTCAAAGTCCTTCTCATAACTTCCACTTCATAAGGTCCTTCCTATAACTCCAAGAGAAACTGCCAATCAACTGCAGTTTGAATCTGAAACAAAACCTACATACAATGGCAATACATGGATCCTCCTCTCCCTCCCCACGATCTCCCTTAAACTATAATAATCTAAATGTCTGTTTTACCAATAATCAGATTTAACTGTTACAGTTTTATGATATACATTGTCACATCTAGGAGGGCTAGTTCACCTTCTCCTCACTCTCTACAAAATAGTCAGGAAAAACTGAGAAGACTTTGAAATAGGCTCTCCTGAACTCCCTTCCCCATTTACTGAGTCTTGTTTAGGGCACCCTTCAGAAACATAGTTACCTATGTAACTATGAGTACCTGAGCTACTCACAATTCTGTAAAGCATACTATTTAGGAGCAATACTGACAGAGATACAACTATGTACGTGCCTTTGATTTACAAGGAAAAGTAGTTTTTGATGATCTCTGAATCCCTTTGCACTCTTAGGACTTATTCAGAATCCCAAAGGGCTTAAAAGCACTAATATATACCATATCTGAATGGAAAATTAAGAGATTTAAAAAATACTCATTGATTTATTTGAAAATGAACAAGAACAAAAGCACTGCATATTAACACAAACAACATTTTAGTACTAATATGAAAGTCATTTTAACTTCATGGACCCTCTGAGACAATACGACTGCCCTTGAAAAACTATCAGCTTGTCCACAACATGGAAGAGCATAACTGAAGACACAGCATGCTAAGTGAATTTTATCTGCCTCGGTTTATACGTGACTATGAAAAAGGTTTTCAATATGTTAAAATCTTAGCAAAGTCCACTTCAATTTTAAGGGTGTGTTCCCGTACCTTCACCTATATGTTGTTCTTTACTTTTGTGTAATCTGCCAAAGAGCAAAAATTCTGCATCTTACTAGAATAACTTTCTATACTACATGTCAATTTAATTGTCTTTCATTATTTAAGGGGAAAAAAAGAACCAAGACTCCTCACTTATGAATAAGCTAAAGTTCTTTTCAATCACATTACCATTTACATTTATTTTGAAATGTTTTAATCTCACTTCAGTAAAATAGGTAACCAGGTATTATTTCTCAAGCATCAAAGGTTACATCTTTTAATAAAGTGTTCCAACCTTCTTTCACAACTTTTCTAATTTCTGTCTTCCTGTTATGGGCTGAACAGTTTCCCCTGCTCAAATTCCTATGTTGAAGCCATAAGCCCCAGTACCTCAGAATATGGCTGCATTTGGAGACAGGGCCTTTAGAAAGGTGATTAAGGAAAAATGAGACTGTTAGGATGGTGTCCTAATCCAACATTCCTGCTGCTTTTACAAAAACAAGAGACACGAGCAAAATACATACACACAAACACACAATCATACAGTAAGAAGGTAGCCGTCTGCAAGCTGTCTTTATAAGAAGAAGAAGAAACAACAGCAACTCACACGCACACACAGTCACACAGTAAGAAGGCAGCTGCTCACAAGCTATCCTTATAAGAACAGGAAGAGACACCAGCAACTCACACACATGGTCATACAGTAAGAAGGCAGCCGTTTGCAAGCCAAGGAGGGAGGCTTCAGAAGAAACCACACCTGCTGACAGGGTAATCCTAGACATCTAGCTTCCAAAACTGTGAGAAAATCAAGTTCTGCTGTTTAAGCCACCCAATCTGTGGTATTTTGGCAGTCTTAGCAAACTAACACACTTCACCAAATCACATCCTAAACATCGAAAAATAGAACTTCCAGATACTTTACATGTGTTAGTGAAAATTCCTTTGAGATTTCCCAGAGAGGCTATGGAGAATCACAAAGATCTGCCATTTCAACATATAAGAAGAGATGCTAGAAATAATTAGGCTGATTTGATGTGTTACTATTGTTAAAGAATTGCATGGGAAGAGTTATTAAATCAGAAGGTACTCAACCTTCCATAGGTTAAATTCCTTTGGTAAATGTAAATATAAAATTTTCACTTCTCTCAGTTCAATTCAGCCATTCAGTCATGTCTGACTCTTTGCAACCCCACGAATCGCAGCACACCAGGCCTCCCTGTCCATCACAAACTCCTGGAGTTTACTCAAACTCATGCCCATCGAGTTGGTGATGCCATCCAGCCATCTCATCCTCTGTCATCCCCTTTCTCCTCCTGCCCCCAATCCCTCC